GAACACCTGACTCTGTCATTACTCACTGTGTGGCTTATGACCAACACTCAATTTATCTGGTCATCATTTCCCACATGGGTAAAATGAGTACAGCTTCTGGTTCTAAGCAGACAATGATTCGATTCTAACTCATGGTGTTGTGAATTTGGGTTGGGTGATCAGCAGCTAGCAGGCTGAAATTCACAAATGGGGCTGCAAGCAATGTGTTCTCTCTTCCTTTGGTATCTCCAGAGCAGTAGGCTATGGCTATAGAAGAGAGACGCACAGAGAACTGAAGGTGGTAATTCCAGGTAGATAGCCTACTTCCTGATGTTCTTCATTTTTATAGGAGTGGGGTCTTTCTCTCTCTCTCTCTCATCTTCCTGGATCATGGCCCCTCAGTGTGACAGCTTTCTTGCTTTGGGTGAATCAGTACTTTGTACTCCACTGTAAATTGCCTGAGCTTAGGTTCTACTTCTTTAAGGGACTGCTGGAAAATACCAGTGGCCCAGTACCTGGAGGCCTGGGGTCCTGAAAAGTGTGGGAAGTTGAGTTTTGGACACCTCATCTCTCTGGAGAAAGGACTGTCTCAGAACCATGGGAACTTATAGCCCTTCCTTCTGGGGAGAGGTGGGTTTCTCAGAGCCTGCTATGCTACTTTGTTGCCTGAGAACTCAGAAAGAGCTCCCAGGCCAGGGTCATTTACTTGTCCATTTACGTGTCATTTATGTGTAGGCAATTTACTTTTAACAGCTTGCCATTCATTCATAACAGAAAATGATTTTAGTTTCAAGCATGAGGGAGAAGCCAAAGATGCAGCAATTGACAGGTCAGATAGCTTGTACAATTTTCTTTTTAGACTATAACATTACCAAAGAGTCTATTCTAAGTTTTGTCTAATGCTTTGCCCTACAATGCAAAAAGATGGATTCCGCATCTCATTTTCTCATATCTATCTCTATAATTAATATTTCTCCTTCTGTAAAATGAACAGGGTGGAATTGACAGACTTTATGGGTCTTTTCAGAGCATGAGTCTTGTTACATGAATGTTATGATTATTGTATTGCATGAGAAGAGACCTAGAAAGAGGCTCTTCTATTAAAACAAAACAAAGCAAAACAAAGAAAACCTCAGCCCAGAAGGAAAGCCCTGGGCAGAGGACAAAAGAAATTTCTTCATCTTGAACTCAAAAGCTTATAGTTGTTTCTGAGGCAGCTCCTCAAACCTGACACTTTCTCATCACAGACATGTCAATTACTAGGAAAAGGAATCACAGGTGAGATGTTGTAGTGCAGGCTAGGACACAGGTGTTTCAAGAAAATGTGACTTTTGAAAGATGATAAACTATTTAAGCTCTTCAAGCACCTGGGAAGATAGGATTGGAGGTCATGTTTTGGAAATCAAAGCCTAACTTATTATCTGTTTTTTTTCCTCACTGGTTTTTCTTGGAAGTGAAGTTCTGAAAGTCCTCTCATACTATGGTAGCTGAGCTAAAGGTAGCCAGTGATATTCTTTCCATTCACATTAACTGGGATACGCAGTTATATCCTTTGGGGTAAAAATAGCATCTCAAAATAGTCAGGCCCCACATCCTATTTATTCTATACCTCCTCTCCCAACACTCTTTCTGAAATATATGAAAATCTCTGATGTGGCTACTCTGCCCCAGAGAGGTTTCCTAATCTTTAATCTTAGAGATGGGCTGGGGAGTATCAAATGCTTTCCCTTCTAAGAACTTTTTTCCCTCCTCAGAACTCTTTCTGCAAACTGCTGTACCCTTCCTAGAGGTGTGCATCATAAAGGGCCCCCAAGGCAGGTGGTGGAAATGGGCAAGCAGTGTGGGCTCAATTAAGAACGTCTACTCCAGGGATTCCACGAAGAAAAAGATGATTAGTCTAAAGTGACTTTTGATTTTTCCTAGACTGAGAAGCTCCTGGCTGCTTCCCTGGCTAAAACATGAATTCAGGCAGAGTCGTGCCAAGCCTAGCCATACACTGTGAGGCCCAACCAGTGCACTGAAGAAGGGTGCAGGAAAATGGCTGGATATGGAAAAATGGCATGAAGAGGCTGGTCCCCAGCCTCTGAAGAGACCCCTGTCCCCAGGCTGCAGAGCTGCCAGACTTTCTTGCAGCCTTGTCATGAAGGATCAGGGTCCCAGTTTTTAGGAGGCTGTTTCTGTGTATCCTATATATCCTCTTCAGAAACAGGTGAGAGGACATTCACTTGTTCTGTGTATTCTACTGGTCATCTCTATGACCTTTATACTTAGCAGACTGCAAAATAAACACTTGAGCGAATAGTTGAAAATGTAAAAGAATTCTTTACAATAAAGAAAATACAAATGTTCCTTGAGTTATGATGTTCTTCAAATTATGATGTTCCTCAAGTTATGATGGAGTTATGATGGAATTCCTCAATAAACCCATCATAAGTTGAAAATATCATAAATAGAAAATGTGTTCAAAGTTCCTAACTTACCAAACCAAATATCATAGCTTAGCCAGTCCTATTTTTATACAGGCTCAAAATCCTCAAACTATCCTACAGCTGGACAAAATCATCTCACACAAGCCAGTTTTATGATAAGCTGCTTAATAACACATATAATTTATTGAATACTGTACTGAAAATGAAAACCAGTATGATTATATGGGTATGCTTTCCCATCATCATAAAGTTGAAAAACTTAAGTCAATTGTAAATGGGGGTCATCTAATCGTTTTTGTAACATGAGTAATTTTCTTCAAATTCTTCTGATTCTAAATCCCATTTTTTCCCAGTATAATCTGTTTTTGTCAGGCAATGGGGAATAATTGTAGGAGTTTGATCTAGGAAGTGGATGGGGAATCTGTCTCCTTTTAAGAAATGCATTTATTATGTTACATCTTTGGAGCTAAAGGCTCAAAAGGAAATCTGACAATAAAGAGAGCTCCAAGCTGGGAATGTGGGTCTTAAACCCAGTCAGGTAACCTTGAGAGAAATAAGTTAAACCCTTTTTCCTCTTGCCCATATGCATATTGGGATAATAACACCCAACCTATTTACTGCACAGAGGTGTCAATATTTTTCTGGCCATAAATCAAGTTGGATGCTCATACGAGAAAGGAAAGTACAAAAGGAGAGAAGTTGTCTTCAACATCAGAAAAAGAGCAAGAGTATACAATGCATAGAAGGGAAATAATGAGGATACTAGATATGGCCTTGGTAGGAAAGAAGATCAACAATCCCCAGGGCAATAAGAGATTCTTTTAAAAGACAGAATCAGCTTCGGTTTGGCCCTAGCTAGCTGGTTGAGTGAATGCAATCTTTCTTTAGAATACAAAGCAAAAAATCTCCTCTCATTAACTTTGTCAATTGTGGGTCCACACCTCTTCCCAGAGGTAACCACTGGTATTTGTTTGGGACTATCCTGCAAGAACATTCTTATGCAGTTACAATGGTATATGTACACGGATATCTATATTAGAAATTTAAGACTTTACTGCAGGAAATTAAGCTTCACAAATGCACTACTTTTATTGCATTTATTGATCATTTTTGGTTTATCATATTTCATACAGTTTTGCCAGTCTGAACTCTGTTCTCTATCTTTTATTTTACCTTTACAAAATATTCATTTTCCTGAGTCAAAGTTTACTAAGATTTTATTTTTCCTATTCATACTTGGTATTATTAACAAATCTCACACTGTGTAGGTTTACCTTTTGTCAATTTTATTCTCTGTCTATTCTTTCTGCCAGCAATGTTTGCTATGAATTGAATGAATTACTGACCATTTGCATTTCATTCTGATATAATCCATGAGAAAAGTATGACAAATTCCGCCCACCTCATGTTTCAGAACTGCTCTGTTGCTGGAATTATTTTGTTGTATTGCTTATCCTATCCTTTTGCTTTTAGCTTTTTGAATACCATTGCAGAACATAGATCAAGCAGAGGGATTCAAAACACAGTTGGCATGCTCTGAGCTACTATAAGAAATAAGAATACTGACAGAAATATACATGTACAGAAAGGAAGTGATTTGGCATCTCTAATGCCAGCTGCTTGGCATTTGATGCTACTGTGAATTCAGAACTATGCCCATCTACTGCCCTCTCTATCAGAAGCATTCATTGGGCAGTGAGGCTCAGGCTGGCATGTGGGATCAACACATCTATGAGATAACTCAAGCTAAGTGCCAAGGCCAAAATATTTTAGCAGCCCTCACAAATGTCCTAATTTCTTTTAAAACCAGAAAGAAAATAACATGAACTGTTAGGTTAAAAAAGTTTCATATATAATAGTAATATATTCATCTTTGTATTAATGCAGTCATATAAATTTTAAATAAAAATTTTAATATTTTTAGAGCATAGTTTTAAAAATTATTAAAGGAGCCTATAAAGGTGAAAGGTCCATGAAAATCAACATGCAGAACTTTTAGCAAGACCACATCAAAATGATGCAGAAGCATAAAGGGAAATTCTTGGGAACAAGCATTTCCTAACTATAAAAATAAAGCTTCCTTAGTTAAAAATTATTCAATATTGATATGACCAGTCCTGTCTGGTTGAGGCCAACTCCTGACTACTCTGACCTGGTTTGGCCACAGTACATTCAGTCACTATGACCCTAGTGACTGGTCCTGGCCTTGAACAGATGAAGCCCTGGCTGACCCACCTCTGGCCAGCTTGGGCATGCTGAAAGAAATTGTATTTTTCAGGGGACTAACTGCTAGATACTCCGTCTAGGTATCAAGTTACAGGGGCTCTCAGTAAATATTGTGTGAATCATCTTCACCACTCTGGTAACAGTGGAAGCTGATGTGGAATACATATTCGTAAATGTTACATAAGGTTAGAGGTGTAGCTCACTGGGAGGGCCCTTGCCTAGAAGATACAAGATACTAGGTTCTATCCCCAGCACTACCAACACAAAAAATTTGTATTTATTGTCTCACAATGTTTTTTCTCTGAGAAAGTTTTATGAAAACTGAAGAAATAAATATGTAAATTTCTTCAGAGGAAATATATAATGCTTCTCCATGATTTCTAGTTGCTGTTCACTGCCTTTTCTTCTCTCTCATTTCTTCTTTGGCACCTCTTCTCCCCTTCCATGAAGTCAGGCATCTAGGAAAAAATTTAGGGAGAATTAGAGCCAGTGGAAATATGTTTTTTGCCTTCTAAATTAGGTCACTTCAGCTTCCTCTAATTTCTTTCCTAAAACAAAGGAACAGAACTAGACAATTTCTGCCCATGTCTTCCAGGAACAACAGTTCCATTCTTCTACCTCCTCCCCTTTTTTCTTTTTCAGTTTTTAAAGGGCACAAGATCTGAGTTCCCACCAGTTTGAGGCTTGTTTGTTCCCTCTGAGGTGGTAGCCAGAAGCAGTCCTTATACAGTGGACTTCGTCAATGTGCTCACATTCTTTCCATGTCAATGTCACTAATGGCATTCTAACTGCTTAACACTCCACTGTTCTTACAAACAGCTCTATACCATAGACATAACCTCAAAATTATTTACCATTAGCTCTCTGTTTACATCATGACTTGGAAATTTGACCTTTTCTCCTACTAGTTAGAAGCAAGAGTTTTGTTTTGTTCAATAAATAAATATGTAGCTTCTCTTACAGTCAGGCAATAGGGAGAGGAGGTTAGGCTATGATTAATGAACCGTTTGCTTTTGAGTCAAGATAAACTGGCCAATTGGATGTAGTGTGGATCTGCAACCTGATGCTGAGCAACTCACAGAAGCCCTATAGAGTTGAGACACACTATACTCCTCACCAGGTCATGCTACTGAAACTCCTGGGAGCTCAACAATATTTCAAAAAATTAAAAAGATATGAGTTCAATTTTTTCCCTCCCCACTAAATGCCTCTGCATATTAAGAAAGGGATTATTAGCCAGGGATTTAGCTCAGTGGTGCCACTGCCTGCCATGCAAGCACGAGGTCCCGAGTTCAATCCCCGGTACCAAAAAAAAAGGGATTAGTCACACTGATAAATTATACTAGTATCTCATATAACAGAACTACTTTAAGAAGGTGGGTACACTTCTCTTCCTAGCAAATGATCTCACAAGAAAGACCTTGCTTTTATGACTTAACAACCTATCTTGGCGATGTTCCAGGTTACTACACAAAGAACTTGCTTATATATTTTTAGTAGACTTTATATTTTTATAATACTTTTAGGTTTATAGAACAGTTAAGCAGAAAATACAGCAAGTTCCCATGTACCTCCTGCCTACACACAGGAACAACCCTTGCCCCACATCTATCAACATAACCCATCAGAATGGTGCATTTGTTAAATCAATGAACTATATTCAACATTACTATCACTCAAAGTCCATAGTTTTCATTAAGATTTACTCTAGTGTTATACATTCTATAGATTTGGACAATGTATAATGTCATTTATCCACCATTGTAGGACCATGCAGAATAGTTTCACTGCCTGATAACGTTTGGATCTGAAATGTCCAAAGGCTCGTGTGTTAAACATGTGATTCTGAACCCATTACAGTACTGGAAGATAATGGAATATTTAAGAGGTGGAGCCTACTAGAGGAAGCTAGGTTACAAGGGTGTGACATTGAAGGGAATATTGGGACCTCAGTTCTCTCTCTCTCTCTCTCTCTCTCTCTCTCTCTCTCTCTCTCCCTCTCCCTCTCATTGCCCAGCCACCAAGAGGTGAACAGGTGAACAAAACTCCTCTACCACACATTCCTATCATGATGCATTATACCATCACAGGCCCAAATCACCAGAGTCAAGCAACCACTAACTGAAATCTCTGAAACTATGAACCAAAATAAACTTTTCCACCTTTTAAATTGATTATCTTCTACATTTTGTCAAGGTAACAGAAAGCTGATTATACATTGGTTTAAAAATAATTTCTATTCCATCTATTCATTGTTTCATCCTCCTTAACCTTTGGTAACCACTGATTTTTACACAGTTTCCTAAGTTTTGCCTTTTCTAGAATGTCATACGCTTGGAATGTTATAGTATGTAATATTTTTCAGATTGGCAACTTTCACTTAGCAATATGTATTTAAATGTATTTTTGTGGCTTAATCACTCATTTCTTTTCAGCACTGAATCATAGTTTATCATTTTGATGTACCACAGTTTATCTTGTCACCCACTGAAGGATATCTTGATTCTTCCAAGTTTCAACAATTATGACTAAAGCTGCTATAAACATCTGTGAGCAGATTTTTGTATAGACAACTTCATACTGTTTTTTTACTGTGACATAATTTCACATTATGGGGGTATGCTATAAATTTTTCTACCATTAGTGAATATTGTAGATTATTCCCAGACTTTTGCCTCTCCGAATTGTGTTTCACTGCATAACCTTGTATACAACATGTGTGCAAATGCATTCTTAAGATTAATTCCTACAAGTGGAATTTCTAGGTCAAAGAGTCTAAGCATGTTGTAATTTTGATGTATATTTCTAAACTGACCTCACAGAGGTTGTAAAAATGTACTCTCTCACCAGCAATGTGTGGGAGTGCCTGTCCCCTATGGCTTTTGTTGTTCTTTCCCAACTCAAACCCTCTTCGTCTGTTCCTTCCCACGGCCCTTGCAGGAAGAATAGGCCAGCTGTCCATTGGCCCTACACACTAACAGCCATGTGTGTTCCTTTTTTTTTTTTTTGTATGGGAGATTGAACTCAGGATCTTGCACTTGCAAAGCAGGAGGTGGAACCACTGAGCTAAATCTCCGGCTCCTATTTATGTTTCTTTTTAGTCCATTGATAGCCTTGGTCATGAATTCAAAGACCTCAGAGGGTAAAAGAAGTGTTCTCTTCAAAGTATCTTCTGTTAGTAGACTTACAATAAATATAGTTACTACTATTGGGATATTTCAAAAAGACCATAAGTTTAAAAGACAAAACCATTATCATATATTTATTAAAAAATTCCCAATGAATACAGAGGTGGCTAACCATGGTGTTATGAAGGTCCTTTGAATATTTTCTGTGATACTTGTTCCTCTGAGAGACATCCATAAAATGTGGAAACATAAGTATCTCTTAGACTACTCTCCTCTTCTTTTGGGATGTTTGCTAAAAATTTCTGAAAGGTTAGCACCATTTGCTAAATGGCCACTGAGTTAAGTGGTCTGGAGCTTCTCTAAACATGGGCATTAAGGACAGCCCATTTTCTAACCTCCCATGTTCATTATCGATATTAAACTGATTGTGTAGTGTTAGATCTTCCTCCATTGTGAGATCTTTGAAATTCACTGTCATCATAATGGCACTCTACATGTAGCCAGATCACTCCCCAAGCAACCCAATTGTGAAGAAGGGATTTCAGGCTCAGCCATTTCTCAGCCTGGGTTGTGTTGAGAACATCTATGTACAGCAGGAGATCTCCAAGGTGATTGATTCTTCAAACACCACACCCTGGGACTCATGCCCTTGTGTAGTTCCCCTTGTGTAATTAAATGAAATAGCCAATGAATTTCATGTCTTCCTTTGAACAGAATATGAGAGAAGTTATGGGATGACATTTCCAAGATTAGGTTATAAATGACTTCAGTTCTGTTTGAGGCTCACTCATCTCTCACTGTCTCTTATATAAATCTCTCCATCTGGTGAAAACCAGTTTCCATGTCTAAATCCTTCATCAACATCTTGAATGTGATCTTTTCAGAGTCTCTGAGTCAGAATCACCCAACTAAACAGCTCCTGAATTCCTAATTCTTTGAAACTATGAATTAATATGGACCTATTGCTTCAAAGTGCAAAGTTTGAATGTAATATGTTAGCCAGCAATTCCACAACTAATGAATCTTGCCATTAGAAATTGTCCCAGCTTCTATAGAGAGCATTACAAAGATGGTCAGGAAATTTATGTGATCAATGACCTGTGATAATTTTTAACAAATAATGTAACTCCTTTTTCTCTTTTCCCAATTTAAGAGAGCACCAATTATGTGTTTGAAAATATTACCACATTTTAAAAGGAAAATAAGAGGTTTTTTCATATCTTTTGTATCCTAAGATAGTTCATAACTTCAAGAAAAACTTTTTTGAGTTTCCTAGTGCTATAGCAAATAATCAGTGACTTCTTAGTACATGTTTAAAGATTATCACTAATTAATGATTCTTAAGACTTTCAAGGATTCCTGAATATAGTGAAAATATTTTGGTGTCATTGATTCAACCACAGAGATAGCAATAGATTAATGAGTCAGTCAATGAGAAATTTTGACTGGTACTGTAGTGTCCCCAGCACTACAGTAAACAATTTATTTCATTAAGTCCTGCAATTTTTATGAGGTAGATATTACTATACGTTTTGGATTTTTACACCCCTGAAGATGCACACTAGATTAAGGGAGATTTGATGCAAAAAATGTATGAGAAGGGAAGCTCCCTGCCTCCAACCCAGGCTCCTAGGGCAGTGAAGCTCAGTCAGTCCCAGCACCCGGAAGGAAGCTCCCCCACTGCCATCCCAGGCTCCTAGGGCAAGGAAGCTCAGCCAGTCCCAGCATCCGGAAGGAAGCTCCCCACCTCCATCCCAAACTCCTAGGGCAGAGAAGTTGAGCCAGTCCCAGCACCCAGAAGGAAGCTCCCCCGCTGCCATCCCAAGCTCCTAAGGCTGAGAAGGTGAGCCGTGTGGGCGCCAGAAGCACCCCTCCCCCCGTGGAAATGAGAAGACACATAAACAAGCCTCAAAAAACAGACTTCCAGATCACGTACCGCAACCCCAACGGGAAACGAGATGGAACAATCTGATACTCAAACACCTGGACTCTCTGAACTGGCAACAAAAGAGGATCTGGGAAAAATGAAATCAGAAATAATTACT